GACTTCCATTCTGGCCACGCCAGTGCGGAGGCCTTCCATAAAGACGGTCACTGTGACCTCCTCCGGTCGGGGATCTGCTACCATCCCAGCGATGAGAGTGTGCATCTCTTGGACAAAGTCCACCAATTTCTTGTTGCCCTATCGGGCGGCAAGGAAACGCGATCGCACGCGATATGTTTGATTATATCGGCGAAAACACTCGTGATAACTGCAACTTCATCTCCGCCCAGGAGGGAAATGCAGCTTCGACCGAAGTGCCGCACGTCAGTGCCCATTCTCGCGCTCGACCACCGAGCTCTGAGATGGCTAGCGCCACGAGCTGTTGCTCGGTCTGGAGCATGGCGGATGCGATGGCCACCTCGCCCTCTCTCACCCAGAGCAAAAGATTCTCTCCATCCTTCCCCTCAAAGACCCTAATGCTCACCATGATTGGCCCAGGACGGGGAAATTCTTCCGTTACTGACGGTGGCGTCATAGACGCAAATGATGCACACATACTTTGGTGCAGGTGCTCTAGCAGCGCGTTTTTGGAATTTGAAAACGCCTCCATACGCGCACCGATTGCCTCGGGCCTTGCGCAGCAATGTGCTGCAGGCCCTCAGGGCCCAGCAAGGACATCAGCTTGTTAAGCCCGTCCTGCATGCCCCGGGGCAAAGTGGAAAACTGTTTCATCCTAACTCCCCACAGAAGATCAGTCTAAACGACTCAGGTGTAGATTGACTACAAGTGATACCAAGTGCAGCGGGGCTGCCGTAGCTTTGCGCTATGAGGAAGCGTAACTTAGGTCGCCGACCGTTTGTTCTTAACAAGAACCAGTACGAGTGTAGCGGATCGCAATCAGCTACCTCCAAGAGTTGTTAGTACCTTAACCAAGGCTAATAAGTTCTTCGGTTTAAAATCCAAAACTGTTTTTATTTATTTTCATCGGCGGCAAAGCCGCCTAATTTTAAATGTATAGATTTTCCTCAATGTGTATAGTAAAATCTAAATAATACGTTTACAACTACTGGCTATCTAGCCCCGTACCGAATTCTTGTTTGGGTCTGGTGCCCATCTGGTGTGATATACACCCCTGTTACCGTGGTATGTGGAACCCCGTTACAGCTCTGATACGGCAACCCCTGGTGTACAGCACAACGATGCAGTGCAACCGCGAGCTCTGATAAAGTAGCATCAGAATATTTTAGCTACTCGATTCCCATAATCTTTGAAAGCGCGAAAAATGTTACCTCCGGATCGCTCTCTGTACGTATCGTCTCGTCAATTCATTTTATCACCATCATCACAAGCGATAATATTGTCGGGGCGATCAAAAAGCGCATCTGCCGCAACATTCAACCAATCTGATTTATACCGTCCCATAATGGAATACTCGGAAAAGAAGGTCAAGACTCGTGCTATTCTCTGTGTAATATGTGTTAAAGACCTCGCTGTGCGCGACGATACATGATTTGAATCGATCAACAACGGCATGATAAACCCACATTTTAAATTACATTAGCATCTTCATTCTAAGTGATTACTTGGATGACATGGTAGATCTTATACCGTTTTAGTATGGCGAAGCTCAAACACAATCACACATTCATGCCCACCGACATCTGCTTAGTAGCCTTTTGCACATGATAATAAGCATCTCAAGCAACACATGATGACCGAGTTTTGTTTGTCAAAGCCAGAATCGATGCACTTGTAAATCATCCTCTTAAAGTTTTAATTTGCACCAACACTAGTTAAATTTATTTAGAGCGTTTGGTGCGAAGCCGGCCATGCCGGCATACTTTGCAATGGTCTTGTGGGAGTAGCTAGTAAGGTAAAGCTGCTTCTCAAAACTCTTTTAGACAAGGAACCGACTAGATCACATTGTATTTGCTTATCGTAAGATTTAAAATTGCGAGATCTTCCGTCATTTGATAAAGCTTCCGAGAAAAAGGATTCCATCAGTGTCAGATGCTCACATGTCCGTACTGGCTATCAGCATTTCGAAGCGCATGCATTTGAGCAATTGTCGCAAGAATTTGATGAGATTATTGTGCTAAAATAAGCTGCGGTTGAGGAATTATACAAACCTTAAAAGCCAAATAGAACCGTAACACGGCACTCTACAGAATATATCGTTATTAATGATCCGTGCATATAGCTTATTCATCTGCCGTTCTATGTGGTTTGTACACTAAAAAGTCCGTGCAGTATTACCAAACACTCCAAACGTGTTTCGGTATGAATACTAATCGCAACAAGAGGGACATCTCTGTCTGGCATCGGTCGTTAATGATACCATAAACCAGGTTATGAGCACTGATCACGATACAGCCGGCCGTGCTGACCGGCATCACATCCCTCACACGCCTGGCGATTGCTCCAGAATGATAACTGTTTTTTTTGTGACATAAGCATGCATAAGTCTCCCTTGCAGCTTACCTCTATAGCACAGAATGTAGGCGTCGACATTCGAGAATTGATTTCCTCACCAATGCAGCGTTGAGCTTTTAATTGAAGAAAATATCTCATGAACACACTGTCCTTATGGATGTTGTCGTTGTCTGGCCACGTTTGATATTGGCTTTGGGATCAGTTGACGTTCATAACGCAAACATCAACATGTGAGAAACACGTGTGGCCGATCTCTTGTCACCGCGTTGCAGCAAGATTCGTAAGTTTTGTATAGATGCTGACTCGCTCATCGCATGCAGTTGTCCGTGAGTGGTCTCAATCACAACTTTTAGTATGGTAAAGACGAGCCCACCTTCTTCTCTGGTACAAACCGTAACATTTTGGGTAAATTCTGTTTCTTGCAACATATTAAAAAATCCCCTTGGGAGGTACAGTAAACGTATTGAGATTTTTCACCGGATGTGACGGGCGAGAATTACAACCACTAAGTCTATCTTTGTCACTCTGCTTGCGAGCAAATGATCTTTTACTCTTTCGTAGATTTCCGCATTGTAAGAGGGTGCTACTTACAACACTTCCTCTAACACAACACACACGCTCGTGCGACGAGAAGCGATTTTCGACTTGGGGAGAAGATGAATGACTTGAGGGCTTGTAGACTAAATAGCAATTGACTAAGTAAATGGTCTCTAGGGCTGTATGTAGCCCTAGAGACACCCCAAGGGTTTGTAAATGTTATAAATAAAAATAAATGAGTCTTGTGCTCCTTATACAATCAAAGGTGTCCTAAGGCTGAACTTAGCTTGAACTATATAAAATCTCGGGTGTAAGAAGCTTGCGCTTAAACCGGCATGAACTTCAACGTTCGTGAAAAAGTCCCAGCAGAAGTATTTCTCACTTCAAAAGCCAGAGACACGTCAGACTCGCTGACAGTGCGAATACCCTGATAGCAACCAAAATTTGGTATCATACCGAATTTGATGGCTTCTTAGAGGACGTCAAATATGCATGTGGAAACACCACATTGTAATTCTTTTTTTGTAAATCACCATAATGGACGCAGAAGGTACATATATGTGCCTCCATGTAATGGGTAAATGTTACCTTTTAAATCACCCCCTCCTTAATGTCAGGAGTAATCTGATTCTTGTGCAGAATTTTGGAGCAGCTCACTTTCCGATCAATAATGAAGTGATCAAACAAACTACATTGAAGAGTGTTTTTACTGAAGCGGCAAAGTACGGTTCCAGAACTC